AAAGGGAACAGAATCTGCTTGTCTTTCTGGGATAGCAGAATTATTAAATTAAACGCATCTTTTCCATTAAAGGAGAGTAGCGTTATATTTCTGAGAAGAACTGTTTTAGAGTAGAAATAATGTGTTTAAGCTGTTGTCCTGCATTAATCATGTTACTTCTTCAGGCACTGCTAGCCTTGACTTGCAGTTCTGTGCTGGCGTGGTTTATAGCACCCCTGCATCTCCCCCATTGCAGTTGATGGAACAGCTACATAGAAAACACTTTGCTTGTGAAAAAGCCTGCTTTACTCCATCAGAAGTCATTGCAGTTGTGACCATGAAGAATGGGACAATAAGCAAGAATTGCACAAAAAATGGTAACACAGAAACAGGAGTATAAAATGTGAGTTGCCAGAGGATGAGGTGGGACGAAAGGAGTCACCTCGGGATGAAGGAGTGCAGAGAATGTGGCCTGCAGAAAATGGTGGTTGCATCAAGTAGAGAAGAAAGGAGGTGAACTGACAGTTGAACAAACTGATAGAGAAGGCGACAGGGGAGGGAACATCCTTAAGCTTAGAACAAAATGGGAGTGAACTGCAGCATAGCCCAGGTTGTGGAGAGAAGCTTTATGCTTTGTTGTAATGGAAATGCACCGGCTACCACGCTGATATGTTGAAGCTTGAGTAGCCCTGTGATACACATCCGTGCCCATTCATTGCAGGTGGAAAAAGAAACAACTCACACTGGATTGCCTTTTTCTATTGTTGCTTTCAGGAAACTAAATTTAACAAACTTTAAGCAAAATACAAGTCTTTGTGATGGCTCAGAGTCCCACGTGAAAATGACCATTCTTACCAGGCTGCTACCTCCCATCTTCTTGCTGGTTTATCATCTTTGATGACTTGTAATTATCTTCCCCTGAACTACCTAATTTGGGATCAGAATTCTGTTCCAGAAATACAAAAACAAAGGCCTTCTGAGTATCTGCCTTCCCCCACCTGCCCCCTCATTTCACATGGGAAAAAACCTGGGGGCAGAGGCAGGAGCTGCAGTGTTTGAGCCTTCTGACTCGTTTGCTTCGGAGCTGCTGGTTTCAGTTTGCAGGATGAATAAGCAGTGTAAAATCTTTACTATGTATAGGCTTAATAATCTGATCATATTTGCCAGTTGCTTTTTGAGATTTCAATTAGCAGTGGTTTAGATAAAGTTTTACGGAAGGTCACCTGATCTCAATGTTCAGGTAATTGAAATGCCAGTCAATACCTTACACACTCGGATGTCTTTCAGTGTTTGATATGCAGGGGATCTGCCTGATTCTTCCTTTTCTTCCGCCGCCTATTCGTTGCCTTCCCGCCAGTGAGGAGCTGGCAGTGGTTTGCTTTGCTGGAGCCCCTGCCTGACTGCGTTTGCTGGAGGTGGTTGCTGCTGGAATAAATGCCGAGCTGCTCCTCAGATTACCAGTAACAGCTCCGAAATGCAGTTGATCTTAATGCAGCAGGTTGTTCTGCCACTAAAACTTGTCGTCGATCCCAGCCTTGGTTGAAAACTGTTATAAATAGATAAGAGTTCATTAGAGCTGCTCTTGCATTGTGTTGTGCACTTCCAGTCTCTGGAAATCACAGTCCTGTTAATAAGATTAACTCCTCTGAGGCAAAACTGAGTTTAAAAAAAACTGAAACTACGAACATTTATGAGCTTTAATAAACTCGTCTTGTATATGATCCCTCCTGATTTTTGTCTCCATATTTACTTCAGGGATTGCCACATAAGAAAGACAGGTCTTTCCCCCTTTTCAGATTTCTTTTTTTTTAAAGGTGGACTTCAAACAAACAAAAGTCTTTGGCAGTGTATTTCAGTGGCAGTAATTTACAAAAATGAAGTGTAGGTTAAAGGGCATGTCTAAGGTTTTACAATGTTATCAAACTATCTGCTATTTTTTTCAAAGTTGTAGACTGGTGTAACTCTTTATCCTTAGGTTCTTTTCACTTATTGAAGCATAGCTTTAGACATTGAAATACCATGTGGCAGAGAGCGGGTTTAAAAAAAATACAAGGTTTCACATGGAAGCTACTCTGCTTCCAGCTTGATTTCAAAGAACAGCAAGGCATTTCTTAAAACTTCAATCAAGTATCTATTACTTAATGACCATCTAGAAAAGGAAGAATTATCCCCATCATATTAAGCACTCAGTTTGGAAGACTTGAGAGGTTGCTTTGTTGTTGTACTTAGTTGTGATATGTTTAATAACAAGATCTATTGAAAAGGAAATATTAAAATACGATAAACCAACCATGTGGTACCTGATAGGATTGCAGTTCCTTGGTGCTTTTGGGGTGTTCTAGTGGTTTAGAGTTTTAACAAACTTAAAATGAAATTTTCTGTTCTTTGTCTTTGGAGACCAAAATATTTGTAATATTTTCCCTAAAAATCTATTTTTAAACATTTTTTCTTTAATAAAAAAGGTTAATCTTTCCTGATAATGAAATGAGATGAAGAACACCTCCCCGTTTCTTTTGGAGCAAGGACTTAAATTTGGTGTAAAATTTGCTTAGCATTCTCACTGCCTAAAGAAAATCTCTCTTCTGTTTTTTGAAAATTCAGCTGTGTTTAAGGTTCTGCCAGAGGCTTGTAACATTATGCTGCGCAAGCTCAGCACATCCGTGTTGGGCAACTTCGTTGCCTGCACTGAGTCTCTTCCACCTCCTCCCGGGTGGCTGAGGGTGCTCCAGCCTTAAGCTGCAAGGTCTAAGACGGACTTTGCTTGCGCTGTCTCCTGCAGGCTGGTGTGGCCCAAGTAGGACCACTACTAGGAGGTAGTGGAAATAGCTTCATGTACGGAGCATTTCTCTCTCCCAATTCAGGCTCACCACTGTGCTTTCACAGCGGTGGTGGTGGCTGTAGGGCTCGTAGGAAGCTGTAGCATAGCGGTGGTTGCAGAAGAGTTGATATATTATTCAATTTTAAAAACCTCCACCAAACCTCCAAGCAAGTTCAAAGAAGACTAGAAGGGCCAAGTCCTTCTGCAGACAAATGAAGTTTGTATTTGGGGATTTAGACGCAAGGGGAAACTGAGTAACAGCCAAACAGCTAATGCTCCTATTTCTGGCCTCGGAAAGGTTTAAATAGTCGGTCATAAGGTACTTTCTCAAAATCTCACTTTTAGTTTCAGGAACTTTCTTCACTGTTAATCTGATAGACAATCATAGTATTAATGAATAGCTGTAGATATCAGATGATCCTTCTCATACTGTGTCTGAAATAGTGGGTTAAGATGAGTGGGTAAGTTTATTAAATACTTCACTATTAATTCTTCAGAGAAAAGCTGCCAAAATCCATGTTGTAATAAATAACAATTAAAAAACCTAACTGCTTTGAACATACAGTCCTACAAAACAAAAACAGAAATACAGAAAGTAAAATTCTTTGTATTTGTGCAATGTGATAGTAGCCAATACTACTTTTCTTTAAAAGCAGTCTTTATTGCTAAGTTTTTGATGCTTTTAAGCAATTAGAGTTGTTTGGTCTTATATGCTATTTGAATTATTCAGCTTTACTCTGGAACACAGCACATACGTGATAACCTCCTACATGGCCAAGTAACAGATTTTTTTTTTAGTATGTATATAGTGGGTCAGATTCTTCTGTAAAGATATAACATTTTGTACAGTGGAAAAAGGCCTGAATCTGGCAACAGCCACTCTGCAGGATGCAGGTTAAGGGAGTATTTCCTAATGTAAAGCTACTTTGAGTGCAGCTGGGCCAGCTGTCTGAAACCCAAGTGTACAAAGTACACTGGCAGAGGAGACGAGGCACAGTCAAATTGTGTTTATTGGACTCTGCCCCGACGTAATTTACGGTCTTTAACCAGTGCTTCATCACCTGGTCATTCAGTCCAATTCTTGTAAGCGTGAAAAAGCAACCACTGAGCAATTCCTTATTATGAGGCTGTTACACTGATAAATTGATGTGCGCAGTCCCTCTTCCAGCCACGCGAGTAGTCCTCCTGAATCCCTGCTGGTAAGGGAAGTGACAAGGCCAGGACCATGGAAAACCAGTGTGTTGTGTAAGGAAGGGCTGGAGAGGTCAAAGGAAGGGGAAAATAGGATTTCATATTTCAAATAAAGACTCGCTCAGTGGCTGGATTTATATTTAAGACATTCTGACAGGTGATAAAGTAATCTAGAAATCCTCCTGGTGTGAGGCAGGGAGGAGCACAGACATGATCTGTCGACTTCTATTTCTCTATTTGGAGGGGGGAGGAGGGTCCTAGTCTTAGTCATCCTCTTTGAAAGAAGTAAGTTCCTGCTAAAATGTCTTTTCAGGACCTTTTGTCCAGTGTAATATTAACTGGCTCAAGTAATAGAGATTTCACCACTTCTCTTGGGAGACTGTTCTTCAGGCGAAATAGCTCTTTGGATGGACAGCGTTTTCTTTACTCATTCAGGGGGAGTCGTATTTCTGCTTGCTATTCTTAAGGAGTTTTGGGGGTGTAATTTGTCAAGGATGTCAGCCTTAGATAGATGTCCTTTTGTTCAGACATTTTTCCTCCAGTACCAAAACATAAGTAGGTAAGCATTTGCTAGATGCTTATATATATTCCGCTCCCTTCCCATCTAGTCTATGTACAAAGTAACGCTTTGTGCACAGAATGCACAAAGTATTACAGGATTTGAGATTGGTTTGGTTTTCAGAAGTTTTTGCAGTGTTGGAAAAAGTAATTTCTGTCAATGCAAATTGGGAAGGATAATCTTGTTTTCTCCTTTGCATTTGCACAATGATTTTGTAAGCTGAATTGCAAGACTTCAGACACACACAACTGTGTAAATTTGTAAAATATTTTTTAAAAAATTAATTTAAATTTTATTAAAGTTGTGAAATTGAGAATTTAATATTGAGCAACTTAGACCAGAATTTGGTCTCTGTGAATGCAAAGATGGATATTTGACATATGTTTTCTTCTTTTTTTTTAATGTCCCTTCGGAATCAAGGAAATTATAATAATTTCATTCATTCTTTTCCAGATGGGAATGGCAGGTAACACTAGTCCCTTTGGGCAGCCTTTCAGTCAAACTGGAGGGCAGCAGATGGGAGCTACGGGAGTGAATCCTCAGTTACCAAACAAGCCAGGCATGGCGAATAGTTTGTCTCCCTTTCCTGCCGACATCAAGAGTACTCCCGTCACCAGTGTGCCAAATATGGTGAGTTGTACCTGCCTGTTTCCTTACTCATTATGTCTTGATAGTGCATTTTAAATTCTTGGGTGATACGGCTTCTGCAACATTACTGGACTACTTCTCCGTGGTCATTTAAACATCAGAGTTGCCCCATGGTTCCTCACTACCATTCTGCAGTGGGTGTAGAAAGTTTGTGTACATTTTTATGCAGTAATTTAACTTTCTAAGCAATCACAGTGTTTTGTTACAAGAATTGCATTACATCCTTTCATTTTGTCTGGTACGTTTAGTTCCAAACCAGATGAAAATGTCTTCTCTGTAAGTGCTGTTTGTAGGTTTAAATTCCTAAATCAATTAGAATGTGTTGGATACATCATCAGCTTCCTGAAACTTGGTACCTTTCATATCCTTTGAATCTAATGTGGTAAACACACCACATGCTTCTCAGTTTATATTGTGCGTGTCTTGCAGCTCACAAGCTTATGAGAATAGTTCTTATTAGGATACCTTGCACAAGTTTGTGGTATTCTGTTTACTAGAGTTTTCTTTATAAAGTGAAATTAAATATTCCCATTTGTCTCAGTATGTCTGCGTATTAATCAAACTGCTTGTGTCGTTTCTATGGAAACTCTAGCTTGTTGCATTTTATATTCTTATACATGATAGCAGTTACTATAGAAACTTGTAAAACCTTCCATAAGATGCAAATTGCTTATTTTTTAATTTAACTAGAAAACCAGCTATTTTTTGGCACAAGCAATGCTTGTCCTTCCATCAGTGAGTTTGCTACCTGCTTATCACTAATAAGGCTATATATGAGAGGGAACAGGATGTAATAAACTTCCTCTTTTCTCCTGATTTTAGAGGACTACTTCTTAATTTTCCTTTAGTTATACTGTGAAATCTTTGTTTAATATCATCTGTCACTTACTGCTTGTGATTATGGAAAGGAGCTGGTGACTAGGATTAAGACCATGTTCAGAATACCACTTGCACTCACGCAGAATATTTGTAAAAGACGATTTGATGCATTCTAATTTTGTTGTTAATACTTTAAGTTTGGATCAGGTGTAAAGCAAATGAATTATTGCCCTGATTCTGCAGAGAACCTGCAAATCTGCCCAAAGTGCTGTATTCATCTCAGGGACTGGATGATTCTGAAGCCTAATTTAAAACTCAGGTTTTGGGAAGCCTAAATCTTAATGTACTCGCTTACTCGTGTAAGATGTAATGGCAGATATTCAGGTGGAATAAAAAAGACATTTGCCATCAAGGCTTGTCTAGTGGTGGAGGAGGAAGTAAAAGAAAAAACTTTGTTTCCTTTCTCCTATCTTGTCGAAGAGGCAGAGGAAAATAAGAGAAACTTACTTTCCCAATACCATCAATTGCAGTATCTTTAAAATGTGAAAAATATCAGTTGTCTTCTGAGAGGACAATCAAAACCATCTTTCTTTGTTTCTCAGGTGTCAAAAGCTTCGTATGTCCAATATATCTTTTTCTCCCTCAAGCCAATACAGAGTAATAGCCATTTCGGCTGATAGACATCTGTACTGTCGAGCCAAAAGGTCTCAACCCTGCTTATGGATCATGTGGTGGTTAGAGTTTGATTGCAGTCCTGATGGGGGGAACTTTCATCTTTAAAAACTGTCGTTTCCATCTAAACATTTTTATTGCAAAGCCAAGAATTTAAAAGGAAATGTCAGACTTGTTAAATTTTAACCTTTATTTGGCAGCAGTGAGTAAGACAGTGTAATTATTTGGTAATAGTACATACATGGTCATATGCTATTCCTTCCACTGGGACTTTGCTTTATTCGGTGTACAGTATGAACGGTGCCCTCTGAAAGAGCATATAGTCAACATTTTGTTCTATTTTTGCTGCTCAGTGTGTAGCTGTGGGCCTTGTTGACTGTATGTAGTAATATATTTCACTCAGCCAGTCTTTTCGAAATGGTCTTTTCTGTGGCAGTCATCCCTGGAGCAGGCATATACTTTAGATTAGTTTATTTTCACAGTGCCTCTCTGAGATAAAGATGTGTTGCCCCAGTTTTAATCATGAGGCTGAGAGGCACAAAGAGAATAGGACTGGAAGAATATGCTGACTCTGAACCTGAGGTTTGTAGGCTCTGACTTGCTAAAGCCTTCCTCATTTCATATGTTAAGACGTTATCTAAGGGTAAAATAACATTCACACCGGTTAGATGTGTGCTCCCATAACTCATGGAAGTGATGTCTGTGTCTCACATTGGGCAACTACAATATGACCCAAATGGCACTTGTGAAAAGTTGCTTGTGACAGAGGCAGCTCCCCAGAGCAGAGTTGCAGTGTTTGAACTATTACGCCACGCTTTCTTGCTGCAATTTCTTCGCCATTTGTTATGTCCCATGATGCTTTAGGACCCTAAAGATGGCGGTTTGATTTAATGTATTTGGCCTTGTGCCTTGTCTGCTGGAGACATGGTCTATCCTGTTTCCTGAAGGAGGCAGGAGTGAAGTGGAAAAGGGTGTAGAGTTACGTTACCAGCTATCAGAAATGAAGCTGTGGAGGATCAGTTCAGACTCCATCCTCTACAGCAAGCGAAAGACCAAATACATCTTTTTAAAAAGACCTCCAGAGTTTTTTGTGAGATGATTGGAACCACATACCTTGCTAAACCAGCCCTCTATACTACCCTTATCTCAAAGGGCCCCAAAAGAACTATTCCATGTGAGAGACAAACCCATGTGAATGAAAACATTGGTTATATGTGGCATGTCTGAGGCAGAAAACCAGATTCCAGCATGATGTTAAACACCTTGGTTGCCACTGAGAATATCTAAATAAGAGAAGAGGAGATAGAAAGGTGTAGCCGTTGTCTTAAGACCCCTTGGTCCTGAAAAGCAAGGCATTTTTTAAATACTCCTTTCAATCCTTTGCCTTTCTCTGTAACCTTATGTGTACACTGCAAAAGGAAAGCAAAAGATGAGTATGTTTCTTAGTCCACGTTACTCTAAGCATCATTACGTGTGGCACCCCTGTCCCAAACACTAACCAGGAGTTTTCCCACTGCGAGGTGTAACGGTCATGCTGGCAGCCAGGATAAACCTCTGCTGCAGCAGTGGATATTTTTTTTTAATCCAAATTCAGGCTACAGCTCTCCTAAGAACGACACACTCTCTCTCCCCCCACCACCTCCCAAATGAAGTGGTTCTCGGAAGTGTTAGTTCATTGCATCTTCAGCCCTTGTTCCAAGCATGACCTTATACTAGACCCTGAGAAGCACATTTGGTTTAATCTCTTTAATTAGCAAAGAAGTAACAAACCTTATGGTATTAAAATGATTAAAAGGTCAGCATTGAGATATTAATTTTCAGTGCCAGCCGGATGGATTGATTTTTTGTTTGTTTGTTTTTTCCTAACTGTGGATGCGAACAACATAGTAGCTTTTGCTTTGTGTGACTGTTACAGAATACAATCAGTTTTCCTTACAGAATGGGCAGCTTGAAATCTTGACTGAATTACTTGTTACCAAAAGAAAGATGTTGCTTCTGACGTTGTTGGAAGTTTTGGTGACACACTATTGAGATTCAGTGTCACTTAAATTGTTCGATGCAGGATTGGCAATGCTCTGCTGTGGTGAGATCATGCAAAATCTCTGGACTGTGGAAGTGAGCCATGTTCTGCACTTTGGCACTCAGCGCAGTGTGCAGCCTGTACGGGAGCCAGGAGCCTCTTGTTTTTGGAGTACCCAGACTCCGGGATGTGCTGTCAGTAGGGGAACCCTGTTAGACTTTTCCATCAAACTTGCTGAAGCTTTGCGGTGTCTGCAGTGCTGCATATTCCAAGGGTGGTGATGGATGGTTTCTTCGTGGACATGCCAGTAAATTTAGTATTTCTACATGGTTAGGACTACAATGTGTGAAGTTTGGCTTCCAGACACCAGCTTGGTTTCACAGTTATCCTTATGACCAGCAGATGGAGTTGAGAGAATATTACTTTTTGGAAGCTAAGGAAATCGTTTCTCCTCTGTTCTCTTGACTTAGAATTGGAGCGGCACATCTTCTCTTGCATTTTTTTTTCCCCCATCTCTTATTAAACTACATCTCGAGTGTTCTGTTGTGTTCATTCTTGCTTCTCTGTTTCTTTTTATGTCCTTTGGATTTCTTTATTAACAGATTTTGGTCAGAGAGAGGAAAACAATGATCTTTAAGACTGGGGAATAAGGATGTCTTAGGTGTGCCTTGCTGCAGGCCTCCTAGAGAGAGGAAGAAAGCTTTTAAACTCGGAGGCCAAGTTTAATTAGAACAAGTAGAACTGTAGCTACGTAAAATAGACAACTCGTATTTTGTTCTAGAGACTAGAAATAAAAGGCTTTATGAAAAACCTCTATCTATTGTGTCCTTACAGTGAGGAAGGCTTGCTTTCTTAACCTTTCAGTGATTTTCTTCTTTCTTGCAGCAAATTCAGTCTTCTCTTTCGCTGTGGGAGAGGTCTGTGACTGTCACCCCGGAGGCATGCTGTGTGTCTGCTTGCCGCTCTCACCAGCAGTCTCCCAGTCTCTGGTGGGCATACTGTTTGCTGTGCTCACCTTCCCTGTGCCTGCCCTGACCTGCACTCTGAAAGTTTCTCTTTCCCAGGCATGCTCACTCCTTCTCTTCCTCAAGAAAATCCCACCTGATTTGAAATGGAGCAGCAGCCTAGAGCACAGCTGGGAAAAGCTCTAGTCCATATTCCTTAGCCATAGCCTTCTAATGGAAAAGATCTTAATAACCTGGAAACAAATCTAACAGATAGTGTTCAGTGCCAGAGAAAATATGTGACTCTGTTGGGAGCAGAATAGACATCTCTGTTCTCTTGGTGCAGGAGATCATCCTGGGAACGTGTATTGCTTTGAATGGTGGAACATTTTAGGTTTTGCACCATCCGTAAATAATAGTGCCAGGCTGGCGAAAACAAGCTGAAAAGAGGATCTGCTCTTTCCCAGCACTCTGGCTCATGTTCCACTCTTCCATCTCCCAAATACAAATACATGTGGTGGAGAATATCCATTGCCATTTTAAATCTCTTCCAGCAAGTTGAGGTGAAGTACTCCGTTGCCAGCTCTCTGACGGCATGGCTTTCCTTCACTTACAAACTTCTCCTTCACTTACAAACTTCATTTACAAACGTCTCTTATCCACAGATTTGCTATTTGGGGTTTTTAATGTTGATCATTCCTCAGTCTGTTTTATCACCCAGTAAATCCTATATAAACCTCTCTTAAAATTTTCTTCAGGTAGTTTTCTGTATGTGAGACCTGGACTCTGTCTACAGATTCCTGTATCAAGTTTTGTCCCTTTTTGTTGCTTTGAAGCATTACTTCGTGTGTTTCTTGGCATTTGCTGGTCCTTCAAATCAGAAAGACAAGGAGATAAAACTCCAGAAGTGTATCCTTAAGAAAGACGCTGATCCAGCCTTGATTCCCAGCAGAGTCAACTGCGTAATATTGAGGTATTTGCTGGTTTTAGAAGAAAACTCCTTCAGCGATTAAAAGCCAAGTGCACTGAGGGCAGTGTCTAGGACCAACTATTCAAGTTCTTTCTATGGCATGACCACAGGAGCCTTCTCTCCTTGCCACCCAAGTCGATCCCCCTCCAGAGAGCGTGACCACTTTCTGAGGCTGTGTCCAGTTCAGGAAGCCTTTTTCCCCCTCTCTTAAGTCTTCTGCCTACCATACAGACTCAGATTCTGATTCCTCCTGCTACTTGGATGAGAAAATGCAGCACTGTAGGGTTATTGGGCACAAATGCAAGCGCTTGTGCTTGTAGTACTTCCAATCGTGTCAGCCTGTTCTGTGTGTGCATGGACCTCTGGAGCTGAAGCATACCTTCAGATTCCTGGTGTCAGAAGGATTCTTCCTGTGTGGATGGGACCAGGCTGTTCAGACCATGCCTGTTCACAGTAACTGGTAGAACCAGAGAAACCACTACCTGTGTGGAGAATATCGGAGTGAATTGCAAGAAGCGTAAACTGGTTCTGTGTCGCTTTCACAGTGAAGCTCTGGTAGTCACTGGAGAAAGCCTGGCTTCATTAAGTGACTACATTGAGAAATGTCTCCTTCCTTGATGCCATCTCCTTCCATCAGATAGCTGCTGCTTGAGCTCTCGTTGCAGTTTTGTGACAGAACAGTGCTTCCTGGGTTGTGCAGAGCTGGTTCAGTGCTTATTAGAGCATTTCTGCAATTCCTATTTGCAGGAAGGACTTCTTTCAATCTTGGTGTAAATGTGCGGGGTACGTGATTGGAGTTGATCACACTGTGAATACTTAATTCAGATAGAAGTGTTGCTAATTAGAAGTGTTCTTCGAGATTTACAGTTCATGTGTATATCCAGTTCATGCCCGCTATCCCTTCTCTGAAGGCGACCCCCAAGATCACACTTGAAGCTGGTGGTTGAAGGGGGACTGAAGAGGTTTGGTGTGTTTCACCTTATGTCCTCCTGGATGAGTGAAGGTGGGATGCAACCTTGCTCTCTGCAGATACTGCAAGGGTTGTTTTTTTAAAGTCTTAATTGACAGACTGGATGTGCCCATAACGTAAATGCACATGTGGATGACATGTTAAAAATCTCTTGTCGCTAGTAGATAACATCCCTTTCCTAGTCCAAAATGTCAACAGACTGAGAAACCCCAAGTGTAAAGTGCTACCTGCCTTCTGGTTAGGGTGGGGGAAGGTCTATAAAACAAACATCTGTATCAAAATAGTAATAGTAATCCTTTGCAGCAGTGGATTCTTAATTATCTCACTAAGGTCCACGGTTGATTATAAAGGAACTTAAAGAACTAAAAGGCATTTTTTAAATGCAGGATTTGTTCTAATACAGTGATTCCAGAAAGTAGCATTCTGTTATCGGGGAGAAGGAAAGAACGTGGAAATAAAAAGAAATTTTGGGAGAGGAAATGTATTTTTAAAATGTAATGCTATATAAGGCTGACACTTGAGTTCTGTATCAGATTGTTTACCTGTTGAAAGATTACCAGTGCTACTGAAATTGGTGCCTACTTTTATAAGAAAGGGTATGTAGTATTTGATCTTGACAGACAACATTGAGCGCCTTTGAATATAAAGGCGCTGGATTACAGGTCATCTCAGTAAAGTAAAACTGCCAGGTAACACTGTGTCCATCCAAGTCCATGAAGATGAGATACCTGTGCGTCTGTGCTGCCTAGAAGCACGGGAAGTTTTTGCTCTTCAGAATAGGGATGGGGCAGAACTATCTTCCTGTATGAATATATAGTTTCCATAATTTTAAATGGTATTAATAGCTGCTTTACACTATAGAATGTTCTATTACTCTGTTGCTAGAAAACTGGTTAATGAAGCTACCATCTCTGTCAGAGGTTGTAGCAGACTTTCAACCCCTGCTCTGTTTGTTCTGTTTATGGTGGAGCTGAGCAAGGGAGCAAGAGAAACAAAACTATCTTTTTTTCCTCCTGTATCTGAATATTGAAGCACTTATTTTAATGGTGGGAGCAGAAGTGTCTGAATTTCCTGCTTCATCAAGAAAATTGTTAGTCATTCAGGTGAAGCAACATAAAGCCTCCTGCTTGTTCTGGAGTGGAAGGATTTCTGTGGTTGATAGAGGATTTACGCACTTTTGGCATGACTGCAGTGCATATCTCCGGTTTTGAACTGGTCCTGCAGACCACTGTTCTTAAAAGACAAACTAACAGGGAAGAGATCAACTTCCTCAAACAGTCAACAGTCTTGAAAGTGAGATGGTGGAGAGATCATTCATTATGTTTGCAGATTTAGAACTTTACAAGGTTGAAATAGTGACCAACATAGCTGTATTGAGCTTAGGCAATATTCTGAGTTCTTTTTTTGTGCCTACCTGCAGACACTCTCATCTGGACCGAGACTGCTTGTTCTTCTAACTACTGATATTCCATGATTCTGCTTTTTATTACTCAATCTTCAAGAAATCCCTTTGGGTCAGGGCATTATATCTGTGCTGATACAGCTGTAGTCATGTCTGTTAATGGATAGGGTAGTAACAAAAGGAGAACTTTGGCTTGGGAAACAATTCTTTGACTGGGATGAAAACATCGCTTCCAACAAGATTTTCTTTGGCATGGTCTCTGTATTTTTCTGCAGATTGGCTGAACTAATTGTTTCCTATTTGTGACCCAAGAATTGTTTCAGCAAAACCTGTCTGCTTTTGTGGATTTGTTCACAGAAGAAATGGAAGACTTAATTTCAGCTGCATGCATTGGGAGCATAAGTGGATGGGTTTTCCTCACCCTCTTTCCTTTTATTGCTCTTTTTCTTGCAAGCTCAAGACAAACGGATGCAGCAATTCCTCTTTGTTTAAGATTTACTATATAATCATTATCAGTGGCAGAGTCCCCACCTCCTCCATCAAATACCAGACATTGTGTTTTCTACTTGATCTTGTATGCTTTGTTCTCCAGAAGAAAAGCTAGCTCTTTAAAACCTGATGTGCAGGTGGCAAAGCTGAGGACAAAGCCTGCTGCTGGAGTAGTGAGAACTTGTGCCAGGGAACCTTTTGTTAACCTAAGAAAATGAGTTTTGTTGCTGTTATGTGCTCTGTTCTGTAGGCTGTGGAATTTTCTGGGGAGTCCTTCTCAAAGGTCAAAAGTAGAGCGGGCTACAGATGGTGTATTCTGTCACTTAAGGGTGATTTTCCTTAAATGTAGAAAGCAGGCTTTGGTCAGTAGTTCTATAGACAGCACTGAACTATTTCGTCTGTTTCCTCCCCGGTATAGTCCTGTTCTTCCTATATTCTATTTATAAATGTTTTTAATGGGTGATTTTCCTTAGGTAGCTTGGAAGTTGGTGAGCTTTTCTGTGGTAACCTATATTTACAGTACATAATCAAAGTGATTCTTTGAGCAGTTTCATATTTGTCCATGAGATTAATTCAGGCTGTGAATCACAGGGATTTAAGCACTTTTGCAGTCCCATATCTGCTCCTGCTAGTGGAGTCGTTGCAGGCTGTGGATGTGTTTAATTTTGAAAAATCAGGTTTCTACATGTGTTGTCCTTCAAAGGTCCAAGAAGGTAGTTGAAAAGCTTCTAAATCTGTGCTGAAGAAATGACATGTTAAGGAAGCTATTTATCTCTTCCACACTGTTATGAGCCACGTCTTAGACTGAAGATCTCTGTGGGTATGCAGGCTCTGTCAGGCAGGGCTCGGGCGTTGGTACAGAAGTGTGTCCGTAAAGAATGGATGCTGGGAATAAAATACCAGATTTTTACAAGCTGATACAATCTAGCGCCACCCTGTAGTTAACTCTAGTTCACTTCAGTAGACAAAGTGCAATCCAAATTTAGGTGGCCCTTTCTGGAAGAAAACTGTATACATCTTACCTGGGAAGATTTTCTCTGTGAAAGGAATATCAGCACTCACTTGTGAGAAGAAAGGCTAATTTAGGCTTGGAAAATCACTTTTACCTTTTACTGCAATAGATAGAGACAGTCATATAATTTTGACTGTCGTCTCCCATTGGACTTTTCTTTCTGTTGGGGACAATAAACTAGGATTGAAGTGTATAAAACCTATAATACAAAAATATAATACTAAACAGACTTGAATTCCACCTCCAAGTGTGGCAAGAGCTCTTTCCTGTTGGAATTACGAACTGTCTAGTAAACAGAAGATTTTGGATGGCTTGTTACTTGAATTATTGTTTGTAAATGTCTTAACAGAGGAACCTCTCAAGACATTTTTGCTGTTCCAAGGTTAGAATAGAAATGTTTGAGAATGCTACAGAGACTGGAGTAATAATCCTTGTAGCCAGTCATAGCAGAATGCTTGGCAAATAGTCTTGTGATACCTAAATTATTATACAAGATTAATATTGGAATTGAGACTTGCAAACACGATGCTAAACTACCTGTTCTCTCAGTCCCAGATGCAAACCCAGGTACAGCAAGTGGGGATCGTACCGACGCAGGCAATGGCAACTGGACCAACAGCAGATCCGGAGAAGCGCAAACTGATCCAGCAGCAGTTGGTTTTGCTGCTTCACGCTCACAAATGTCAGAGGCGTGAGCAAGCAAATGGAGAGGTGCGGGCCTGTGCTCTCCCGCACTGTCGAACCATGAAAAACGTCCTCAACCACATGACACACTGTCAAGCTGGGAAGGCCTGTCAAGGTGAGAGCACGTTGCTGAAGCTAGTCTTGCAAATGAGCTGTGTAAGGTTTCCTGCATATTTGTCAGCAGTGTTTCTCTTCTTGTCAAGAATATCCGTATACCTGGCACAAATGAGTGCCAAAACGCGTTCTTTAATTAAACAGCTGCTCCCTTTCTCATTACCTTTGCTCAGTTTCCATTTCTGATTTCTGCACAGTTGTCAATTTAGAAAACAGAATGCAATATTTGCCTTTTAGAAGCAGGATAGTACCAACGGTAGCCTTTAAAGGCTCTTTTTCATCTCCTCCATTCTATAAAGAGGGTGTAATATCGCAGCTCAGCCATGTAGAGTTTCTTAGATTTTAGTACTAGTTTCATTCATTTGTTATGGCATTATTGGTGGGTCCCAAAAAATTTTAGTTGCTCTTAGCTGTGTTTAGTTATATATACAGTATTGCTTGTAAAGGAGAAAGAATAGAGTTGCTCTAAAAAATGAGATGAGTTAATTCAAAACCAGTTAACCATTTATTGCTTTTCCTTGTTACAGTTGCTCATTGTGCATCTTCAAGACAAATCATCTCCCACTGGAAGAATTGTACTCGGCACGACTGTCCTGTGTGCCTTCCTTTGAAAAACGCCAGTGACAAAAGAAATCAACAACGTAAGTAGTTGTTTTACTGCTGTCACAATAGAATGTTACTGTTAAAATAAAGTTGATCAAATCTGCAGTGTAGGAATAAACTTTGACAGTGTCCCAACAAACTTAATAGCTGTTTAATAACCTTGTATGAGGATGAATATACTAATGAATTCTTCCTCATCACTGAATCCAATTTATTTCTTACATACACAATAATTGGAAAGGGAAAATCTCAGCTCAAGCACACAGCCGTTTTTAAAGGGTAACTTCTGGCTCGTGTTTTATTGTGAGGCAGGTCAATAGATTCCGGTTATAATGCAGTTTTGGATGTAGGTACGGTTTTGGGGAAGCTGTAAGTTACTTCATTATTTTTCTTGCTGCTAGAAACAACTTAAATCAACAAGCTAGTGATTAAGAATAATCAAAAATGTTTGTAAAAAAAAAAAAAAAAAATTCTTGTGCACAAAAAGATCTCGTCCAGGTGTCTTAATCATTAAGTGTACTTAACGCTGATATAGACTAGCTGAAGTTCTGCAAATCATAGTGGTTTTGCCCATGCCTGTTTTTTATAATAGCTTAGCTGTTACTGATGCTTGAGGGCAGCTAATTTCTAGTTCATTTCTTCCCTCTTGCTCTAAAACAGAAAATACTGAACTTATGTTGGTAGGTTTGCTTCTCATCAAATCATTTGAAAAGATGCCAAGATAGAACATTTTACAGCATAGATGCAGCAGTTCTAGAAGTCTAAGTAATATTATGCCTAAGTATATTTAAATAAGGGTCAAGAAGTGGAAAATAGCTGGAGGACTTGCAAAGCTTGTACATCTGAATTGTGTTGGAACATTCTGCTAATTCCATTTAGGCTGAGACTGCAGTGAGGAACACTAATAAACCTTGGAGGATAGAGAAGAGCTCCTAGGTTAGATGAGATTAAGGCAGAGGGGAGAGTAGTTGGTAAGATTGTCCAAATTACCCATCAAGGATGCTCTCATTGTAGTTTCAGGAGGGTATTTTTTCCCTCCAAAACTGAAAAAATTATAAATTGAGAGCTACTTGGAGGTAAGGATTTTGTTTTCGTTTTACCAAACTTCTCCTTGATAAAACAAGATGTTTTGTGTGTTAAAAGTAGTAATTTGTTGCAAGTGATTAGTTATGTTTGGCCTTCAAAAAATGTGTTGAAAGCTTTGCTTTTTAATATGACGTGGTCCATTTGTGTATAACATCCTTATTACACAGTTGTTATCAAAGTGCTAACAACATACAGCACAACAGAATTGTTTTTTTCAATACAAGCTGCTGTAGAAAAGTAGTTTGTGCAGTATTTGTTTTTACGTCATTTCGTATAGCTTATCAAAAGAGAAGGCACTTGAACAAAAACAGTCCTTAAAAATAATTTTGTTATGGGATCAAACAGGATGTTGTTTGAATGCAACAGAATTATAATGGATAAGCGTAGAGTTTGGCTCTCTTGTTGCATGCAGGGGAAATAAATACGAAATCTGCTTCTGTTCAATTAATCAATAATCCAATGGTTAGTAACCATGAAAATTTGCAGCTTAGCATGCTGAGGTGCAGGGTGCTTTGTTCTGGATTATGTCTCTGAGTCATACACGTGACTCCTCGTGGTTTGTTTGAAGGTAAAAGATGAACACTAAAAGTACTTGTTTACATATATTATAAAGGATACCCCTTTTTAGGCATCAAAAACATATATGAAATTATTTACATTAATATGTGCATTTGAAAACACTGTGCCTGATTGGGTGAAAACTAACCTAAGCTAGGTTAGTTTCAGACTTGAAGAAAATGTTGGCGCTCTTAAGAATAAATAATTATAGCATCTACTAAGTTGGGAGGAGAAGGGGATCTGCATACGGCAGAATATGAGGAGAACATTTAGAAAGGGAAAAAGAAGTGAGAAGTGTAGTGGCCCTCGTTACTTTTGTCAGGCTGTCGTCCTTACAGAATGAATGACTACGCAATGGTCATTAAAGACTTTGAGTCCTAGAATCTTCCTTTCTGTGCTCATGCTGATTTTACCATTGTTATTTCGAGTCCTGTTGTATCTGTGCTGGGCTTTCAAGTGGCTCCTTCAAAGTGTGCCGATCTTTTAGAAAGTTCTGTAGTTCAGCACTTCTGAAACATTGCAGTGTGGTGGCTTGCTTCCACCCTTCCCATGTGCAGTGGTTCATGTGCTCTTTGTCACTATCTATTCCTGCTCCTTGGGGGAGTCCCTCTGCATGGGGACTTAGGTTTTAGGTTGTTACCATGGAGCTCTTTCTTTACAGGTGTCTTACTCCATGTTTAGTGTTTAGATTCTTTGCAAGGAACATCTATCTCTGCCAGGTTTCATTTGTATAGCTGCTTTTTTTTTTTTTTTTTTTTTTTTTTTAAATTAATCGTGAACTGTCTTTTATACCTCTGGGAGGGTAGGGGAAAACTGCAAAAAAAAAAAAAGTTATTTTGCACATGCTAAAATATTAAGCTTTTCTTTTGAATAGGCCAGTGACTCCTGTGTTTTGAAGTAATGACTTGAAATTTGGTAGAAATGTTTTGGGGTTGGAGGGTTGTTTTTGTTAGGAAGTACTTCTTGCTTCCTGCGGAGCCCACCACAATTTGAGTTATAAATTCTTGCAAACAGCTGTTGATACTTCCTATATTTATAGCTCTGTCATAACAATTATTTTTTCTGAAGATTCATCTTGTCAGGCATATGCTTGAGCTTCTTAATTCTTCTGTTCCTGACCTGGGCAGGTGTGTATTGTGCCACCAAACAGCTACTGGGTATGCTTCCTCTTGCAGCCCTGCAGGTGGTCATAAGTGTGCTGTGCTCACCATTTATTATGAGCTGGGCCATCCTCATGCAATGCTCGATGTGCTTTGTTTCAGGATCAGGGGACACTAGAAAACCTTCGGGATCCCTGTTCAGTTGAGTGAGACTGGAAGGTGGAGTTGTGAACAGGGAGCTAATCTCCCCTGTATTTTTCCTTGTAGAAAAATTTTAAATAAAACGCGGTGAGGAAAAAGCTGGATTTGAGAGTAAATTTGAGACAACTAATCTTCATCTAAAAATGTGATTTTTAAAGAAGACTGGGCTGGAAATTCTGGAGTATGTGGACTCAGGGATGAAGGGTGGGAATCTGATGAGGGAAATGGAAATAGGGACTAGGAGCTAGCTGGCTGAGAGAGTAGGTGTTATGGGCAGAAAATGAAAGAAGACTTGGATGTAGAACATTTGGGAACTAACCCTTTGCAGGGAAGGAAGGAGTGCATTGATGCGCAGGGAAATGTGTTCAGAAAGAGTAGGCAGCAACTTCTTCACTAGAGCCTGTTTCCTGTGAAAATGGGAAATGAAATCCAGTTTGCTCAAGTCTTACTGTCAGTAACTGTCTGTAAAATCTACAAACAAAATGTGCCTCTTGTTTTTTCAAGCACTGGAAATCATACATAATGGTGACCTACCAGCTATCAGTTGTTCCACTGAGCCACATGGTAGATGGTTAGCCCACAAATTAAGATGTTCCATTCATTGACTAATATGATGCTATATTGTGAAGGCTTTTAGTTTAATGCTTAACTTAAATAAAAATTAAAATGGCATTGGTGGTGAAGTTTAATACTGACACTTCCTACCTTTAAGTGGCATGTAAAATCTTTACCCCGTGATTTGATTCATGATACAGCCTTTAATTAAACGATCATGTACACTTACCTTTTGTATACCTGCCTAATTCTGGGTGCAGGACGGGCTTGTGCTAAGATGAGTCAAGGTTACCAGCAGAATTTTTGCTCCAGCTACTTTGAGCTAGAACGGATATAAAATGAGCAGAGCAAGGAGCTGTACGACAGAGCATTTGAACACTGCTGAACGAGTCTCAATTCCAGAACTTGGAAGCAAAGTGAAAAATTTAAATCAGACTTCTCAAAAATGGATTAACATGTTGCTTTCACTGGGGTGGGAAGGTTAGAGAAGTGCTGGGCATTCATACTTAAAATAGCTTTAGGAGTCTGTGTTTAAAATAAATTCTAATCAACTGGATGGGCAGAGGGGTTCCCCTCTAGGAGACATGGTTTCATTAAGGTACCACTATCTACTTTGCACACTGAAATAGGAATCCTGTAGATGAGATAGTGTTTGATCGTTTAGGTTACATCCTACTGCGTATGCCCAAGAGGGCCTGATCAGGGCTGTTCAGGAAGTTCTGGGGCTGCTTAACTTCTGCTTGTTTGAACTTTCACTCTTAAGATATATAAACACATGGGACTTCGTAACAGTGGGACATATGGAGCTCAGTTGTCTTTTAAGTATTTAGAATGTGAACAGTCCTGTACAGCGTTGTCTCTACACTTGTCGCTTCTGTCATGAGCTCATCAATGTCTAAAGCATCAGTTAATAAAAAAAAAAAAATCACAGTAGACATTGCTTCATGTAGCAGTGGCCTGATGTGGTAACACCTGTTTCAGTGCTGTATTTATTTAAATTGACTTGATTTCCTATGGTATCTGCCACAGAAAGGACTGCATTTACACTTGATCTGTCCAGTATGGAAATTTAATACTCTCTTCCTTCATCTTCTTGTTTGACAGATTGAGATGATGTCATGCGTTCATATAAAACCAATGAACAAACAGACAAAAAAAACCCCCAAAACCACCTTCAAAATCAGATTCCTGATATTGTGAAAATTCTCAATACAGTATGCTATTAATTGAGTTACAAATACAGAAAAGCTGAGACCAAAGAGTCAGAGCCACTCATTTCCACGTTGTAAGTGTACCGCTGGCTGTAAGAATGTAGTCTGTCCCCTAATAATGATACTTCAGTTTGAAGTGTTGAAGCAACGTTTGGCTGTTTACCAGCTTTAGTGAGTTTTGCCTGCTTGAATAGGTACGTGCACACATGTGGAACTTCTTGGAGATCATTAGTCTTTTCAAACTGCAAGTCAAAATAGTGGTCTTCAGACATTGTCCCCTTATGATGATGTTAGTAGTTTTATGAAGAAACAGTGGGGTTGTTTTCTTTTTAGAATAGACTTGCTCTCCATGTTGTCACTTTTAAAGTGACATTCAGACTGTCAACTTTGACAAATACTCAAACTGAGTTTTTATAAGTAGTCTTTGGTCTGGGGCAGACAGAGAGATCTGGAAATCTGGTCTTGCTTAAGTGGACTTCTCTAGAATTGGCTGGATTGTGGTTCCTAAAGCTGCTCTAATACAAGGGCTGAACTTGTACTTCACAGTAACCGATACCACTGCCAAAGCTCAGCCCAAAACCGTGGACAAGAGGTGATTGACTTCTCCAAGCTCTACCCTAGTTTCAGTGTGAGCTTCAAGACAAGCTTGCAGTCCTCAGATCAGTGCCAGCTTTTTTCCCCAGAGGAATGGTGAAACACTTGGCTATCCTCAGTGGGATGGCTAGAAGCCTTTTTCCTGTTCCCAGCCTTCAGCATCACCTGTGGTCAATTCAATTCTACCATCTCCAGAGATGTGCCTCTGATTTACAGCCAACGCTGAAAGCGTATGGGCGTTTTTTGTTGTAACTTTTCCGGAGAAATACCATTCTCTAACAAGCTCAAACTTCTGTTAGCTCTTGAATCGATCCTTTGCTGTCACAACAGCCTCTGAAGCCTTTTGAATTCCAGGGTGCCACAAGTTTTGTGCTATTTAACCTTTCTAGAGACTTCCTATTTTGTGGCTTGCACTAGTGTAAAGGCATGTTTCTCTTAGACTGTGTGATTCCAGAGTGCTGAGTGCAAGTCAAACAAGAAATTCATACAGTTGCTCTTTAATATGTCTTTTTTTTTTTTTTTATGAAACTGATAGGATTTCGGTCAGCTTCTGTCTTTGTTTTTAAACTCGCTTGGAAATAATCAGTGAGTTCAAAAGTTACTATGAATGTGTCCACAGAGTATAAGCATATGCAAGCCTAATTTCCCTGGTAAACCCAGTGTTGAAAATACTGTGGATTGTCCTTGGGGGAAAAAAAGGAGGTTTTCTGTGGGGCTGCTTATTCTGGAGAGGGGGATCTCTGACTATATTTATTTGTAGTTCTTTGGCAAATGAGATCAAATTGAATTCTCATCTGGAGAGGGCAAAGTCTGGACTCTGTAATGTGTGTTGTTGCCTTATTAAAAGCTATTATCATTGCTATGTTTAGCTCACAAATTTGTAACGCACGTTACATGTTTAATTACTTGAGGGGGAAAATGTGAAGTATGTATTACTTCTACCAGAGTCTCAGTTATCAAAATGCAGTGCCTCTGTGGTTAAGGATATACGCCATGTGTCATTCACAATGGAACATGTTATTACTTAGAATGGCAGCTAAAATGAGGACCAGAAAGCAGATTTTTATTCACTTCTGGGTTTAGTAAAAACTACTTTTCCCTGTTGTTTCCATTTCCTGTTGACAATGGAAATGACTCTTCCATACATTTGTGCGGTGAGAGAGGTTGGTTGGTTGTGGTCGTCATATAGGATAATGAATACCTAAATATTATCATCTAAATTGTTTACCAGAACCTGTGGCAGGCTCATCCCCTTTCTGACTCTTCAGATTATTTTAGATTTTGTCAGTACAATCTGAAACCCATGAGGGCTTTTCATATCTCTGAATAACTTGGGTTTTAGGGTAATTTAGCCTTCAGAGGATTCATCTAGTGACTGCTCAGAATGAAAATTTCTACCAACAGATCTTCAGTATTACCTTTGTGTCCAAAGACACAATATTTCTGCTGAACTCAGGATCTCTGTTCTGGAGCCAAATATTTTGACCTAAAATGGGATTGATGGGAAAGAGGGAAGTAGAGGAAATAATTCTCCCCCCCCAGTCTACTGTCCCAAGCATGAAAATCCTATTTAGCCTTATATTGGAGCCTATACTTTATGTATATTACAGTAATTATGGGCTTATCTGCCCAAAATTTAGAGCACTTCTCTTTAGACTGCATGTATTAATTGCTAGGGTGGTTTCTGTCCTGTAGAATCAAAGGCTGAGTTTCCTCACTTGGCATCTCGGGTGTTGTTCTGTCCTTTGGCAGAAAAATATATACCATATAACTATATGCATGTTCTGTTGATTCTTGGCATGATTTGTTTTACTGTTTGTCCTCATTGATTTTCAGTTTTCTTATCCTTTCTTTTTTATAGCCCTTTTAGGGTCTCCAGCTGGTGGAATCCAAAATTCCATCGGTTCTGTTGGCACAGGCCAGCAGAATACTCCGTCGCTAAGTAATCCTAATCCGATTGACCCCAGCTCCATGCAGCGAGCCTACGCTGCTCTTGGACTGCCGTATGGCAACCAGCCTCAAACGCAGTTGCAGCCCCAGGTACAAGGCCAACAGCCGGCACAGCCTCAGGCTCACCAGCAAATGAGGACCATTAATGCATTGGGTAGGTGGAAAAAACCCCAAGAACTAAGGTGTTAAAATAAACTGAACTGTTGAATTTTTAGGGTAGTCTAGCATTTCACTTGATCAGAGTAGCGACTTTCTGTTCATGTTGATTAATAACTTAAAATTATACTATTTATAAACACTACTATTCATTTACATTTGAATATTAGAAAGCTTTGAATATATTGCTTCTGCCAAATAGCAGTAGCTTTAGTTTCTTTTAAAATATAGTCCATAGCTTATTGTTGTCTAAGGTGATTAGACAGAATTGCTGAAGGACTTTCATTTGTTTAATAAGCATTTCACCTGTTCTAGCAGACAATTCTGTCTCAAATGTTAATTTCTTTCTGGAATGTAATTGTAGTATTATCTTCTTTTTAGCTTATTGAACTAGTCTTAAGAGTTTATGAATTTTAAATTTTAATAGACTATTTTTTGTAGAAAAAAGAATATTCAGACTGAAAGTAACTTTTAATTCCATAAGTAGCTACGTATATGCACCACAGCAGATATTATCATAAAAGTACTTACCTGATACACTGTTTCTTTCGTCAACCAGCTGGATCAGTAAAGTGTAGTTTTGCCATGTCATTGTCAAAATTGTGAACTGGGTACCAATGATGTTTAATTTTGTCCCAAAGGAGCCAACCAGATGAACCTTCCCGCAGGAGGAATAACAACAGACCAGCAAGCTAGTCTAATTTCTGAAACTGCTCTTCCAACATCCCTTGGGACAAATAAGTAATGCACGCATTTTCATTCTTGCTCGATTAAACATTTATTTACATGCTTATGAATGTAAATAAAGAGCATGCTTTAAAAACTAATTGTATTGGCGTGGAAATGATTAGTCACTTCTATAGCTAAGCTCTTCCATCCTACTTCAATTCTATATCTACCGCTTTGCTCCTCCCAGAGAGCCCCAGAATATTTAGTGGTTTTAAATGAATTCCCGAAAGAAGAATATTTTGGATTTTCAAGTTGTGATTCTTTATCGTTCATACCATGTCTTGCAAACTCCTAAGCTTTGCTGCTGTAGGTGTTGCAGTTTGCTGATGCCAAAATTTCACTTAGAGAATGTTTGATGCAGTAGCTAGAAGTGATGAAAGGAATTACTTAAAAATTACTTCAGGCATCAAACATACACAAAACTCTGCATTCTGTACTGTAATAGTCCCTTTTCTTTTTATTTTAGCCCACTAATGAATGATGGCACAAATTCTGGCAATGTTGGAAACCTCAGCTCAATGCCAACAGCTGCACCTCCTTCTAGTACCGGGGTAAGGAAAGCATGGCATGAACATGTCACTCAGGACCTGCGCAATCATTTAGTGCATAAACTGTAAGTATTCACCAAGACAGCGTATTATTCCTGAATGTTTTTAAAGAATTTCAATACTGTAGCTCTACTATTAAGCTGAAAAGTTGTTGATAAGGAAGTAACCAGTAGTGGTTCTGTGTCACTGGACCACTGAGGATGAGCTGTTACCTTTAACCCTCCTCTTCAGTTCATTCTTTCTGCTCATTAAGGAATGGGCATGAAATTAGTTTACATTGCTAGTAAATTCGCTCTGCTATAGTAAACAAGTATTTAGACTCTAGACTGTCAAACCTCACATTTTTTCATCATTGAATTTGCCTTAATCTTGTGGGGAGTGGTGCAATATAGTTTTTTTTGTTGGTTTGGTTTTGTTTTGTTTTTAAACAATTTTGATATGCTTTTACATCTCTGATGTATGAAGGAATGTCCAGGTTGAATATTATAAAGCTATATTGAATTATTTTTTTTTTTCTCTGAAGAACTTTTCTTTTATTCTTTCTCCTTTCTTGTAGTGTCCAAGCCATCTTCCCCACTCCTGACCCGGCAGCACTGAAGGATCGCCGCATGGAGAACTTGGTGGCTTATGCCAGGAAAGTGGAAGGAGATATGTATGAATCTGCTAACAGTAGGGTAGGTTGCTTCAGTCCACGTATTCAGTATATGTTCAAGAATAGTAGTATCACAAATCTTATAAGCATAGTGAAAACCACAGAGAATCATTTCACTGTTCTCTTGATACGGAAAGTCGTGCTTTCTGTCTCTGTGTTTGTATAGCCCCAAGCAATCTGGTTAATGCCACTCCAAGCTAATTCACCTCCCTCAGCTCCATGAAAACTAGACAACATTGTCCCAGCCCTATTTGCATTCCTCCTGAAAGTGTGATTGACGTGCTTGAAGATTGGAGCATAGCTTGGAGTTCTTGATGTTTCCCTTGCTGACTTTCTCCTTTCTGGAAGTCTGAGTAAATAGTAGTTTTAAAACTTTCTTAATGCCTCTTTACCATTGGAGGTTTTCTCTGGGGCGCAGTCCAGTTACACTGCTTACCTTTTACCCGCGCTGTTGGAATTGTTTCTCCTCTACTCAGCAGCACCAAGAGTGATCTGGCTAAGGCACATAGGTGTTTCACCTCTTAACATAATAAGAAGTCAGTTTGCCTGCATTTGTCCTTGTGCATGGGAAACAAGACAGAATTCCTGTTATTGTTCATGATGTTTGTTCTGTCTTTAAAGAAGTGTCAGTTCAAAGCTCTATTACTCAGAGGGAGCAAACCCTTGTTGATTGACATGCTAAGGATACTATTTCATTATGACACTGTGGTAATTCTACCCTAAAGGAACCACTCCCTGAAAGTTTTCATCGGGCAAAGACGTTAGTAGCACCAGTAATAACAGCTAGTGAGATCTTGCCTGATCAGAATCTTGAGGTCCTTTCTTAAATAAGGTGAGAGTAGTTAGTGGCATTTCAGGTGATAATCATCCAGTAAGACAGTAACACTTAGTCTGCCCCTCTCAGACCATCTCCCAGAAGAACCGAAGATGGAATGCAAGTTTTATTTCCTAGAGGTAGATAGGCAGTGGCCATACTTGTAATGCTGTGTCAGCGTCGGTCAGTGACAATATCATATTCTCCTTGTGGCTACCAAGAGGTTGTTGAGCAAGGAAGACTTGTGTGTGATCACCCTTGATCACTGTGGCAGCTTTAGAGAACAACTTCAGAGAGAACGAGGATTTCATAGACATACATAGTAATATAAATACCTTCTCAGTAAGGATGAGTGTAGTAGACTTCTGGTTATAAAATTAAATGTCTTCTGACCTCTCTGCCAGACAAATACCCAGAAGTATCTTCTCTTCACCCCTTAAAACAGCTGTCAAAGCCTCATTGCCAGAAGTCTCTTATGGGAATTCATCTAACGTATTAGTGCTTTTAGATTGGACAGTAGAAAGTGTCTGCACTGATGGATTTTTGAGACATTTGGAGGAGGGAAGTGACCTAAAAACAAAGCTTTATGTTGCAGTACTGGACTTTGTTAACAAGGCTGGTGAGGAATACCTATCTCATGCTAGTTTTCTGAAATGAACTCAATCCTACTGTAATAACAAATTCTAGTTTTGATGAAAATTGGATGAAGATAAAATGATTGTGGGACAAGCATCACTTAACCTTTGCTCCATGTAACACTTGGGTTTTAAAAGCATAGGTGACCCCACAAAAGAAATGTAGTCTTGAGGGTTTGGGGGGAGTATTTTGCCTTTAACAGGTGCATGCTTTCATGCACGTGACAGATGTGTGTCCAGCAATTGCTGACAAGCAAGATTGTCTACCTTGCTGTACACTGTGACTGTCTTATTTGATCTGTTGTCAATGTGGATTGAGTAAAATGGATTTTTCATCTTGTACAGATAAGGTGTTTAGTTGTCTATGCCTGTGGACTATTTTTCACTGATTTCTTCCATTCCCTTGGGGTTTTGTCTCGTTTTGTTTATTCCTTGCAATGATGGCCAGTAGAAAGACTCTTTAGGAAAAGAGCGGT